TTAAAGAACTGAGCTAAGGGGCAAGGGGCGGGCCCCCTGAAGGGAGTGTAGATGGGTACAACCACTGTAGAAATCAAGGGAGATTCCTCAAAAAACTAAAACTAGAGAGGACAGCCAAATAGCTCTGCAAATTAAAGCATCTACAAGCAGGCGCAGGGACTGGGGGTTCGATCCCCAGGCCTGCTATGCCAGCCCTGACCCCGGGGTGTACTGAAATGACAATTGAGACTGGGCACAGTGACACGAGCCTGTAATCCCAGCTCTTGGGAGGCTGTAAAGAGGCTGTTCACTAGAGTCCTATCTAGTAGTGAACCCTTAACACCTTTGTAGACCCTTCTCTAAAATACCCCACTAAAACCCCACTAAAACTAAGGATCGCATTTGTGTATTCCCCTTTCTTTGTATCTTCCTGCAAACACTAAAAGCATCATACCACTGCGAGGGCCAGGAAGATGGCTCAGTGGAATAAGTGCTTCCCTGGCAAGCACAAGGGCCTGAGTTCAATCCCCAGTTCTGCCAAAAACAAACAACAGCAATAAAAACAGCGCTGCAGCCATACCCATATTTCTATGGCACAGCTAAACTCGACAGAATTTCTGTCAACTGATGAATGGATAAAGATGTGATTTTATAATAGAATACTGTTGTGCTATAAAGAAGAATAAGCTTGAGATATTTCTAGTTAAGTGGATGTACCCTGAGACCATATTCTTAAGCGAGATAAACCAGACACACATGCAAGTACTGCATTGATGTAAAAAACCAAAAGTGTGAATCAGGGTCAAAATATGAATTTGGTACAAGGTCTCACTATGCAGCTTGGACTTGGCCTCTTAGTGATCCTGTCTTCAGCCTCTGCAGCACTGGGATTACAGGGGCACCACCACACCCCGGCTCATAGCTGGTCCAGCGTGGCATGTGGTGCCAAGGATCGAGCCCAGTCCCTGCACTTGCCTATGCAAGCATTTGTCTGTTGAGCTATCAGCTGACCCAAATCTGTAGTCTTTATAAAGTTTGTTTGCCTGGGCATAGTGGGGAGCACCTGTAATCCCAGTACTTGGGATGCTGAGACAGGATTATTGAGAATTTGAGACCAGCCTGAGGTACAAAGTAAGCTCAAGGCCAGCCTGAACTGCATGGTGAGATCCTGCCTCAAAGACAAAAAAGGGGCCAGCAAGATAGCTCAGCAGACTGAAGCGCCGGCTTAGGCAAGCACAGGGACTGTGGTTTGCTCCCTGGTACCTCATGCCATGTTGGTCCTTCCCCCGGGGTGAGCTGAGCCTGCCAAAGTCCAGGTTTAGTGGCACAGGCCTGTAATCCCAGCACTGGGGAGGCTGAAAACAGGAGGATCACCACGGGTCTGAGCTGATTAGTGAGACCCTGCAACTACCAAGTACTTTTTTTTTTTT